ACATGAAGGAACAAAATGCCACTTTTAGACCTTTCTAATGAGATAAACTTGGCATATGTTGAAAAGAGGCAGGTTATTTAGTCCAGTTTTTATGTTTTCTAATCAGTATTATTTACTCCTTATTCCTTCAAGTCAATTCCAGCTCACAGTGACCCTGTACTGAGTTTCTGAGGTTGTAAATCTTTACAGGAGAGGAAAGGGTTATCTTTTTCCCTTGAATCAGCTGGTAGGCTTAAACCACTGACCTTGTGGTTATCCTACAATGTCCTCAGGGCTCCTTTCCTTCTTACTAGGCTACTGTGTTTTGTTTTTTTTAGAGTCTCTATAATTTTCTGAATTTTGTCTGTGTTTTACAGACATTTAAAGAGCTGGGAGAAATTATACTAGTAATTTGGGATGGATATGAAACTTGCTTTGATCTGTAGTACTGAATGCATAATGATCATTGTCCTCCTTATGAATAAATACGGAGTCCTAGTTGGTACTATAGGATAAACACTGGACTGCTACCACAAGATCAGAAGTTCAAACCCACCAGTCTGCTCCTTAGAAACCCTGTACAGGATTTTGATGGGTCGGAATCTACCTGCCAGCACTTAACATTAACCTGAAACACAAATGAGTATGTAATGCTAACATAAACGGCTGACTTCTTTGGGTAACTTATTTTGCCTTAGAATTTAGCAATGAACTCTTTGTTGACCTGGGATGTTTTTGTAGAATTGAGCGATGAGTGATGATTTTTGAAATGCAAACAGAATTTGGAGCACCACCTTTTTGAAAGATGTTTAGCTGATACAGGGCAAGATGTGGCAATGAATGGCACTAAATGGGTGACTGAGGTTTATTTTTTTTTTGGTTTGGTTTTGGTATTAACAAATTCATTCTCTTGAAGTTTAAAAGGCTAGAAGTTTAAATTCAGGGCACCAACTTTGGGGGAAGTTGTTGACTCTGGGGGCAGTCCTCATCCTGAGTCTTCCTCTAGGAAGGGTTTAGGAGTTTCCAGCACAGGGACCCTGAGTCTAAAGGATGCGCTCTGTTCCTTGCTCTTCTTTCTTGGTGCTCACTTCTCTCTCCTTTTATCTCTTGTCAGATGAAAGGTGATGTAGGCCTCACTCTCAGGAACCTTCCCTTACAGTGGATCAGAGCTGGGACTGCATCTTCACAAATGGTATGTTTGAACCCATTGTTGACATCATTGGCAACCCAACTTGTTGGGATGGGACTCTTCCCCTTTTACTGACTCTGAGAGGATTTGGCTTTCAGTTTGTGTTATATATGTGGTTGTTAAGTGCCGTGGAGTCGATTCCAACTCATAGCGACCCTGTACAGGGTTTCCGAGGCTGGAAATCTTTACGGGAGTAGAAAACCTTCTCTTTCTCCCGCAGAACAGCTGGTAGTTTCGAACTGCTGACCTTGCGGCTCACAGCCTGATTCGTAACCACTACACTACCAGAGCTATAGTAACTAGTAATCAACCTGTGATGATCTGCAGGGAAATGTACTATTTCTAGCCTTATATTTTATCTTTGCTAGTCCTATTTCAGAGTCCTGGTGTGGTGCTGTGGGTTAATGCGCGGGGCCCCAAAGTCATTTTAAACTGCAAGTTTGGTGGTTTAAGCTTATCAGTCATTCCTCAGAAACTCTATACAGGGTCACTATGGGTTGGAACCGACATGACAGCACTTAACAACAAGTAGAAGTCCTATTTCATATAAAATCACCAGTCTTTGATTTCAAATGTTCCCGACTTCACCATTACGTACAGATGCACACTGTTGAGTTGGTTATTTTATCCTAGATTCCATGAACTCAGTCATTAGATAAAAGCTATTGAAATTGGTTGAGGCTTTTTGTACTTTGGATCCTGGTTCTTGGAGAAAAAATACTCTTTGGTTGATTATGGAGAACTATACTAATTAATTCCATTTTCCACAAACTTTTTGAAGCCCCCTTGTATATGATGTTGTTGTTATGTGCTGTTAAGTTGGTTCCAACTCATAGCAACCCTGTATATGGCTTCTGAGGAGCGGCTCGTGAGCTTGAACCTCCAACTTTGCGGTTCAAACCGATCTTGCATTCCAGTGCATTAACCCACAGCGCCACACCAGGACTCCATGTAATATGATGGAATCTCATTGTAAGACTTGAAATGTGACAAAATGTTAGCTGTTAAACACTAGGTTAAAAAACTATGCTACTAATGATTACTACTGTTCTTCATTTAGTTTTACTTACCTTATTAGTTTCAAGCCAAAGTCGTTAAAAAAAAAAGGAAAAGATATACTCATATCTTCTTTTAATAATTTAGCATGAGACTCTAAAATATTTTCTTTTCAGGATCTCTACTTTACTGATAAGAAAAGCTAAATTATTGTTTTCTAGGCCTAGCATTTAAAAATAAAAAGACCAGGAGAGGCAACACAAAAGATTTAATATATGAGTTTGTATGGGGGTGGGGGTGCTTTTTTTGTAGAAAAGTTACATGATCTTTTAATTCCATTTTTCCATAAATTTTTTGAAGCCCCCTTGTATAATAATGATACTTTGAGCTCAAAATATTTTATTTAAAGTGAAAGTATTCTTATGGAAAAAAGCCAAATGCTTATGCACATATGAAAGTATTTGGTAAAGAAAAAAAGCACAGATTTTCACTATAATATGAAGTGCTAGCTGACAACTGTCCGTTTCTCAGATGTGAATATCCCTGTTTGTGACTCAAGAATTAGTCACCTTGTCTGTGGATGGCATAAACAATTTGGCCAGGAAAAGAACCACTGGGTAGGAACCATATATAATTCTAATTTGGGTTAATTTACACAAGGAAATTACATAGTTAATTTTACTAATACATTCAAATTTTATCTTGACTCCTAAGATTAAAAAAAAATTAAATAATTCACTAAGTTTGGTTTTATATATGAGTGTTATTAAGTGAAAGAGTATTGCTCCTAGAGTTCAAGTTCATACATGCACTGGTTTATTCCACACAGAACATGGGGACACATAACTGTGCTCACTGGACGGCTGCAGACAAACCCCCTCAGGGATGTGTGTGTCTTATTATCCTTAAGGTGCCTTCAAAGAAGGTCTAATTAAAACAGTGGCTTCTGAGGGGATCTGCTCGGCCAATTAAATTCAAGGCAGACAGATCAGCTCAGAAGGTTTGGTGATAGTTTTCTGGGATCCCAAAGGGGCCATCTTGGTGAGTTTTCTGAAAGATTGAGGATGATTTTGGGGGCTTATTATAAAGTTGTTTCAAGAAAATTGAAACTGCACTGGTGTGAGAAAGGCCAGGAACTTCGTGTTCAGAATTTTTTTTCCATCACAACAATGCACCTAGTTTGTTCTTCACTGGCAGCAAGGGCTGTCCTTCCTATGAGAATTTCACTGGGAACCCATACCCTATGCGCCCTTCAACACTGAGCTTGTCTCTTCAGACTTTTTTGTTCCCCAAACTCAAATAACACTTCAAAGGACATGATTTGAATCCCCTGAGTATGAACAAACTATTGTTTTGATGTGGTGTAAATCCAGAGTGCCGAATTATTTGGGGAAAGGTCAAAGAGCTGGAAACACTGCCTTCAGAGGTGTACAGACCTAGATGAAGGACATACTGAGAAAGCACAGCTTCACATTGTAATTTTTGTTGTTGTTGTTAATAAAGGTGTCTATGATTTTGTAGCAACACTTATTGAAGTGTCCTTGTATGTTAGGTAAGGAACCTTGGATGCTGTGGTGACAGAAAGACACTAAAAGCAGCTCAGGAAGAAACTATCACTGTAGTCAAAAATAAAAATAAGAAAGCCTATTGGTACAAATTACACATCTGTCAGGCAGAGATGGAAGAAGAATTTAAAAGATTCTTTTAACTTAAATCAAGAGGGTGAATTTAGAAAGTAGGGAAGTAATTCACGAGCCTGTGGACCTAGAGATGACTAGAGAGGGAAAGCTATGTATTAATTCCAAAAGTTAAATTGAGTTTTTTTGGGGAAAAAATCTACCTAGAAAGAAGAAAAAATTCTGATAATCTAATTATTCTTCGGAGAAATTTTTTGGTCTGTTTTATATAAGAGTTTATTTTCCAAATTCTTATACAGATACATAAAAATGATTCCCCATTTCTATTTCAACATATTAAAAATATACATTAGCCACAAAATGTACTTATTCTGACTGAAAGGAAAAGGAGCATGGCTATATTCAAAACAGCAAAAACGTAAGAGTCAATATATATAAATCATGACAAATGTACATCTCAATTTTGAAAAAAATAAGTTCTATTTTTTACATTAATGCTTTATTAGCCACTTCTATGTTAGCTCCCCCAACTTTATTCACACTCACTATGAAAGTTCCATCAGCGTGTGTGACTAACTCAAGAGGCACTGAATTCAGAGGTTATAAAGTCCTGAGCTTCAGTAGGAAACAGGATTCCCAAATAAAATCTGAACATAAATAATTCTAAAGATCAGAGAACATGAAAATATTTAAAGTGTAATATAGTACATAAATAACTCATGTCCTAATAATAATAAAATTGTACAGAACTTCAATGTACAAATGGAAAGAACATTTATAACTGGCTACATAAAGACTCCTTTTTGACATTCTTTTTAGCCAAATAAGTCAATTTAGAGATTGGTAACTAACGTTCACTAACATTAGATGGGCTCAAAGTTTAAGCTAAAAATGAAATTTGTATTTGGTTGTAGAGAAACGTGTAAATTACAGTAATTTTCTAATGATCTAAGTCAAAAGCATGAGTTGACATCTTTGTAACATAAATGGTCTGACAGATATTTTCTTGGCTTTAAATGTTTTTTTTCATATATGCATAGAAATGTAATGAGGATAAAGATAGTCTTCTGTATTATCTGTTAGAGTTCATAAGGCCTTTGTCATGGTTAGTCACCTTAGGTGTGATTATCAGTAGAGCCATTAATTCAAGCTGGCCTAAAACATCTTCAAAGTGCTACTAGCTCCGACTGATGAGATCCTCAGCTTTCTGGATTTTCTGGGTGATGATTATTTTCAGTTCTCTTTTCTGGTGATATATACAGGAAGTTGCAGCAGATATATAAGGGAAAGACCAGAAGCCTGCTGTCCAAGTTCATCACCACTTGTTCCTATAAAACACAATTGTCATTTTAAAGTTAAAACAACTACACAGAAGGTGGGGCACTGTTATTATCATCACTGCTCTGTTGGTTCCAACTTTTGTCTACCATCCCTCACTGCCCATATGACAGATACAGTATATGTTCTTGAAATGTAAAATACATTATCATATGAAAGTACATTCAGGTTTAGTTACATTAGTACACTCACACAGAAACTGGCATCTCTGATCCGGTAGCCTCAGATAGCCTTTACCAGTAATCTGGTAAACAGAAGCGATGCTCAGAGTAAAAGTAGCACTGAAATTAGAATTCCTACTTTTTAAATACTTGAATACATCTGCAAACATATGCATTACTGAAATCACGTTATACATTCTGGGAAATATGCTATTAATCACAGTTTAAATCTATAGTTTTAACTACTGTAGATTTAAACAATAATGTGGGACGCAAGTCTGAGTGACTGAGGTAGGTTAAGTGGACAAAGCTTCTGTGTTGGGGGTACAGCAAGATAAATTTGGATAAAAGAAGGAAGGGGATACAATGTTACACAGAGGCATGAAATCTCCGCTGATATTGTTAGGCACTGGTCTCACACCATTCTCATAGCCATTCCTAAATTTGAGCCATGGCTTGGGTCAGAGGAACCTTAGTCCTCAAAGTGACATTTTTGCTCTTTAACACTTTAAAGAAGGCTTTTTCAGCAGATTTGGCTAATGCCATATGTCATTTGATTTCTTCACTGCAGCTTCCATGAGCCTGTGTAGGGTTTATGAGGAGTAGCTGGTGGGTTTGAACTGCCGACTTTGTGGTTCTCAATCCAGTGCTAATCCTATAGTGCCACCCCAGGAGTCCTTAGGAAGATTACTAAGAGACATTCTGGTAATTGAGTCTAGTTAAGGTTGGGGTGGAGGGGAGGGTGACTCAGTCAGCTCTGGGAAAAGAAGGGAGTCATGTGGATATCACTTAGGGATGAACAGACACACCAATTTCTGAAATATTAAACTGCATTAATCTCTACTCCCCACCCCCAAATTAGGCAGATTTAATCCTACCTTCATTAAACCTTGTTGTACATCTCCATTTTCACTGAATCATCTTTATAGCCATGTCCCACTTTCCTTACTCCTCCAGGAGTGGATGCTGTGCAGCCATATGCACATCAGCATCATGCAGGGGCAGCATCTTCCCAGGCCCCTGTTTCCCACCTCCAGAGTTCTCCACTGTCACATACAGTCATGGAGATTCCTGCCTCTTACACGATACTATACATACTTCTGAACATTGTTATCTTACAGGTCTGAACTTCATAAACCCAACCCCCTACTGAAAATCGTCAGCTCAAACCCTCAAGTACTAGTTATCTTCAGATTCCTTCCTTTCCTTCTGGGCCATTCACACTTTCACTTGTGCAATTTGACTTTGACTCTCCATAAATGCCTTGATGCTTAATTCTGAGGAGACCAATATAGATTTGGTCTCTTCAGTCTGAGGGGAAAAAAGGCTAACTTCTCTAGTAATTTTGGTGAGTGTGTCACTGGTGGTTCTGTGGTGTGGTTCAATTCCTTCATGTGCACCTACTACCTGTTTGTCAGTGGAGGCTTGCATTTTGCTTTGACAAAGACATACTGGGAAGAAAGTCCTGGTGCCCTACTTCTGAAAACCCAACCAATGACAACCCTATGACCACAATGGTCCAATCCACAACTGATCAGATGGTGTAGGATGTGGCAATGTTGGGTTCCACTGTGCTATGAGTCAGGCGGGGGTTGACACAATAGTAGCTAACAACAACATAGGCACTGAACCTTTTATTAAGACTATATGTGCCCTTTGAAACAGTGATTAGTTTCAACAAAAATTAACGTGTCTTTAGTATTTTAACAGCTTTTACTTTACTTTTTAAAAATGGTAACTTTCACATCACAACATACAGAAACGTCTAACATGTCATACAAAGAACAAATGGTTTCGAGAGGGAATTTTGGGAATTCTACAGATGGCTCTCATTTTACAAACCTATTTTAATAAAGAGTAAAGTTCTCTTAATATTCAGGAATATATTGGGTTGCCTTCTTGATGTTTGCTGTAAATGTACAAATAAATGCGCAATGTATAAAGCAGTTAAAGTAACTTGTTGAAGTATTCAAAATTAACATTTATCTTCCTATTAAGTAGCTTTTCTCTGGCCCTCAAATAACAATTTTTTTCTTTTCTTCCTTTTGCCTTTTTCTGTACTAGTCAATTATACAGCAATGAACATGGTATTTTTGTTATTACTTAAAATAACATTCAAACCAACTTTTAAATCAAAATTTTATTAATGTTAATGCTACTTAAGATTTTCAAAAGACAACTACTGCAGTGGAACAGTTAACAGAAAAGTAACCAAACATACCTGATCTTTTTCAAGTGTAAGTATTTGATATCCAGTTGTTCTACTACATATCAGTTTTCCACTACTATCAAAAGAGGCTAAGCGTAATCTAGGATTAAAAAACAATACTCAAGTAAAAAACAAAAACACATACACACATACTTTTAAAACTACTTATTAATTTAAGTAAGCCTTCCATCGCTTGAATGTTTGCTTTTCTATCTTCCAGATTATCTACAAGACTTTAAAAAGTCTTTTCAAACTACCAAGTGATTCTATTTAGATTTATAATCCTATGCTATTATATATACCTAAGATATAAAAAAAAATTTACAAATACATGATTTTTAAATAATCTGTGGAATCCCTGGGTGGTACACATAATCAGTGCACTTGGCTGTTAACTGAACGGTCAGAGGTGCCTTGGAAGGTAGAGGCACCTGGTATCTTCTTCTAAAACGTCAGGCACTGAAAACCCTATGGAGCAAATTATATTCTGACAACACATGAGGTCACTGGGAATGGGAATGGACACAACATTAGCTGGTTTACATAATTTGTTCATTAAACTATCTTGCACTTTATCAGCTTATAGCATCCTCTCCAGAAAAAGACTGCCAGCTCAACTATCAGGCCAAGCCAGACATGACAAATCCTATAGAAAGCTAAGAGGAACACTAGGCATGTCTTTCTGGAAAAATGCCTTGCCATATTTCTAGTTTGAGCCCTGCATTTGTTAGAAGTAGTAGAGATGACAGCTTCACAATTAGTATCAACTCTGTATTGCTCATATCCCAACCTCTTCTCTCGGCCTGACATCCTGGCTCTCATGATGTGATTACTACACTCCTTGAGAACAGAAGCTTACCACTCCCTAGCTCTTTCACGTGCATCACGTCTCATCAAGGCTCTTCCAGTGTGGTGCATATTATCAGGGTTTATTTCCCCCTGGACTGAAAAGGAGTGGGGTGGGGAACTCTTATCCTACCTAAATGCTATGCTCCTTCGAGGTTGTAAACTGACAGATCCACTACATGGCTGATTCAGTGTATTGCGTTTGAAAATGATGTACCGATTGGTATAAGTTACAAGTAGGTCAAAACCAAAGTTAAAACCTGTCCACCGCCAGCAGTACTGAAAAATATGAAAGAAAAAATTTTTAAAGAAAATTTCAGTTTATATTAGTGAGTCAAACATAAAAAGTTCATCTGAAATGTCTTTTGTTTTTTTCTCTAGCTCATTCCAAATATTTCTCTCATGTACTTTTGCAAGTGCCCCTCCCTTATTAAGGCATCTCACACAGAATTATCTCCCCCAGTCAGAAAAGCACTGCTCATTAGTTCTTAAGCTACTTTCCCAAGATCACTTCTTCTTCAGGATCTGTTCCATCAGCTCCCCACATTTTCATAAACAGGGCTGCTCACTGGAACACTAAGTGGGTATAGCTTAGGGGAGTAGGAGACTACTAGAGGGGGTGGAATATACCCATTCAAATACACATTGCTTTAAAACACCTTAAGCAATTAACCAACAGACACATAACCAGGTTATTTTAACTACTGTCCTAAGGTTTACAAGTTTGTTATATCACATAATAGTTACTAAGAATAGTAGGAAAAGTGGTGTGGTGAAGTCAAATTAGGAGTGATTGGTTGATTCCCTGAGTTATAAATTAACTCATTATTTAACGGGTATTTATGGAGCCCACATTATGTGCCTGGCACTGCTGCAGACGCTGGAGACACAGAAGTTTCTGTCCTCATAGAGTTTATATCTTACTATGTGCAGACATGTGTTTGGGAGTCCCAGTGTGGAGCTGTAGGATAAGTACTGGAATGCAAGGTTACTTGAATTGCAAAATTGGCTACTCACCAGTGGCTACTGAGAAACCCTATACAGGGTTGTTGTGAGTCAGTCCTTAACAACAACAAACAATACGTATGTTTGGAGTCCTGCTGTGGCACTGTAGGGTAAGCACTAGATTGCTAACCGGAAAGTCAGTGGTTCAAACTTACCAGCCACGCCTCAGAAACCCTATACAGAGTAACTATGACTCGGAACCAACTCGACAGCACTTAACAACAACAAAAATACTATGTTTTTGTGGTAGGAGAGAAGGTGAACACCCATATAATTGGATAGAGCAAGAAGAATACAGGAAGGATGATAAACTGCTGTTTGGAGGATATACAAATTATGTTTCTTTCTAATGAAGTAAGAAGCAAGGCCACAGGTAACAATAAAGACCAATGCCATAGAGTCAATTCCAACTCATATTGACCCTACAGGATAGAGTAGAACTGCCCCATAGGATTTTCAAGACTACAAATCTTTACAGGAGCAGACAGCCTCATCTTCTCTTGCAGAGTGGCTGGTGGGTTTGAACTGCCAACCTTCTGATTAACATCTGAGCACTCATGCCACTGTGCCACCAGGGTACTTAAGTAAAGACAAGGGTGGTAGAGTTTACCTTTTGAGGAGAGAAGATGTGGTGGGAGGATAAATAAATTCATTAAGAGCATCACCAGGTAGCACTTAAAAGCTGCTTAAAGTTTACATTCAACAGAAACCCACTGGGGTATGCTGCCTTCCTTTAGTTGCACCCACCTGTTTAGATGTAGGCATGGGGAACAGGAAAAGCTTGGATTTCACACAAGCTGGGAACCTGCCAGGTGAGTTTGATAGCGTGCAAGAAGAAAAAGGAAAGTTTCAGTGGTGGTGGTGGTGGCTGTGTGCCATGGAGTCGGTTCTGACTCACAGCAACCCTGTATAGGGTTTCTGAGAAGCAGCTGGTGGGTCTGAACCACTGACTTTGTACTTGTCCAGCGCTATCCTACAGTGCCACACCAGGACTCCATGTCCCATTAGTGAGCAGTAAAATCAATTTAATGGGTCACAATCAAATTAAAAATAAATAAATAAATAGAAAATAGGATATATGGATATAGCAGGGGGGACTACTGTTTCATCACATCTTTGTTTCACTTATATGCATTTAGATTATTGTTGTCATTAAGTGCTGTGGAGCTGGTTCTGACTCACAGCAACCCTGTATAGGGTTTCTGAAAAGTGGTTGGTGAGTTTGAACCATCGACCCTGCAGTCCAAACTTTGGTCCAGTGCTTATCCTACGGGGGTCACACGGTTAGGTGGTAATAAAAAATGCAATTCCCACGTTGTTAGCAAACAAAAGGCTTGAATGTCTTTATTCAGCATGGCTGTAAAGTAGAATAGCTGTAAAAATGACTTAACAGCTCCCATATAACTTTTTCTTTACCTTAATTTCTGGATCTCTGAGGGAGGCTCTCTCCTGCTATCATCTCATAGCTAGACCCCAAATTTAAGTTAGACAATTAAGGATGAATAGTCAATCACCTCACACAGATCATGATGTAAAAACTGTGTCAGCAGCTCTGTTGAGTGCCAAGTGCCCTGATGGTTACTGAAAGCACACGGTGTATAGGAGACACAAGTTGCATGAGAATGTCACAAGTCAGAGCCCATACTTACTTCACCATCTTTGGCTAGCTTTCTTCCACACCTCATGCTGTGTCCCTCTAGTTCTTCTTTATTGATTTCTTGAGGTCTAAAAACATGCATTAGACATGAAACCTCATGAGAAATTAGGTAATCAGTAATTCAAAAAGAATAGACAACTTTTACCAGATTCAAAAATAATTAAAACAATGTTTTTGATGTAGACAAAAATAAGAAATTCCATTGCCTTTGCTAAGTGAAAAAAAAAAGTCAATGTTTCACCTAGTCCCCCAGTTTCCAGGATACTTTTAGTAGGGCTCAGCCAAACCAGCGAAAACAACAAAAGGCAACCTACAACAAAGACTGATCATCAGCAAAATATGACACTTACAAGTCCAATTAAGTAAAATAAAATACAATCTAATCTATTTCTGTAATGTGTAACTTGTTATCACTTACAATTTGATGTTGCTGTTTTACATGCAAACCACTTTTCATGTGATATAACTTTATGAAATCCATATATTTTTAAGAACTCTGTACATTTTATTTTAATTAATCTTTAGTTGGTCCTTTATTCTGAAAACCTTAACTAAGAGAAAGTTATTTCGAACTGCAATAATGATACCATCATCAGCAAAGTAATTATAAATTTGAAAGTAATACGATGTATTCATTCATATATTAATTAGCTCATTTATAGCATTTATGAGACCCCTGGTGTGGTGCTGTAGGATCAGTACAGGACTGCGAAACACAAGGTCGGCAGTTCATACCCACTAGCTGCTTCTTGGAAACCCTATACAGGGTCGCTATGAGTTGGAATTGACTCAACAGCACACTTAACAATAACAACAATGAAACAAGTCCTGATGTCGAGCTGTAGGATAAGCACTGGACTGCTAACTGCAAGGTCAGTGGTTCAAACCCAGCAGCCATTCCTTGGAAACCCTATATATGCTATGAGTTGGAACCAACTTGACGGCACTTAATTATAGCAATGGAACAAGTACAATATATAAAAAATAAATGAAAATAAAGCCATGTCCTTGACGTCCTAGAGCTCAGTCTAATAGGAAACTAGATATAAATAAATATTAATGAAAATAATGTAGAGAGGGTTGTGAATATCAAGAACAGGAAGAAGAGACACATTTATTGCCTGGTGTTAGAGAAGAACCATCACAGAAAAAGGATTATTTGATCATGAGTGGGTTTGTTGGGGTGGGCTGGGGGTGAATTCGATGACAGGAGAAAGGTATTCCACACAGATGGAACAGTAAAGGACTGAAGCATACAAGAATGTCAAATGTACTAAGAATTTTGTGCAGCTGTAGTACAAAATGAACATGACAGGAAACAACGCTAAAGGTAGTTGGGGACAAACTGTTGAAGGGTCCTGCTAATAAACTGTTGTCAAGACATTTGCTCTGTTACTTCTCACAAACTTTTTTATTATGAAAATTTCCACACATATACAAGTTAATGAGAAGAGTATGAGTCAGATTTTCTCACTACAAAAGTCAAAAATTATCTGTACTCCAGTTACATTAAAACTTCCATTGGCTGCACTGTCTAATCAGCACTTCCCGTTCAAGATCACTGCTGTGCAGGTGTCAATGTGGACATCTGCAAACAAAATGTGGACTGATACTTGAAGGAAAGTAAAAGTTTCTTTAAAAAAAGTGTTACTGATGACAAGACATGAATTTATCACTATGAGCCTGAGAGTAACTGGCAAAGTATGGAATGGAAACATCCTCATCACCAACTAAGAAAAAGTTCAAAAGTCTACCACCAGTTGGAAAGTGATGCTTACAAGTTTTCTGGGATTCTCAAGGGCCAGTATTGGAAAAGTATTAGGAAAAATGTTCAATAATCAACAGTGCTCCTCACAGTGAGAAGCTCACTGAAGAGCTGGAGTTCTTAAACAAGAGGACTACTACCCAAGGGTGTTGTGATCTTGTATGACAGTGTACCTTCTTACACCTCTGCCCTCACTGTTAACACTCTGCAAAAACATCATTTTGAGGTGTTCAAGCATCCTCCCTATAGTCCTGATCTTGATCCATTGGACTTTCACCTATTTGGTCACCTGAAAGCAGCTCTTTGAGGATGAAGAATCACCTCTAATGAAGAATCAAACACAGCGGTGGATTTGTGGTTCACAACTCAGCCTAAAACATTTTAAAATCAGGGACTATGACAGCTTGTTGACAGACTGGATAAAGTGCACTGAAAAGCAAGGGGACTGTGCCAAAAAATGATGTATTTGTCTTTTCTAAAAGTTGATAAAAATAAATTCTACAGCCAGAGTGTGGATACTTTTTGACTCATCCTCATTGTTTCAATAATCTTGTTGTGGTTTTATTCCCCCCATCTCTCTCCCTGTTGATTACTTTGAGGTGAATCCCAGACATCATATCCTTCAATCTATAAACAGCTCAGTACACAGGTTAATGTGCTAGACTGCAAAGTTGGTTTGAATGGCAAGGTCAGTGGTTCAAGCTTACCAGCCACTCCTCGGAAACCCTATACAGGGTCGCTATACATTGGAACTGACTCAACAGCACTTACCAACAACAACACATTTTTAAAAGATACGAACTTAAAGAAAAATGTTATCACCATATAGCCCACCTGAAAAATAGTAATAACTCCTTAATTACTCTCAAATACCCCTGGGCAGATTTAAGCTGTAACCAGATGACTTTCATTCATTTCAGACTTAAAGATCTTTAAAACCTATTTGTTTATTAATTAGAATTTGAGATTACTGCAAATAAGAAAATTAGCTTTACCTTTACATAAATAGGAAAGATCAAAACATGAAAATAATATTTCAAGTAATATTTAAATGTGTTGAAAGGAAATCATAATACTAGGTGAATTAAAGTGTGTGATTTATTTAATTTTACTTATATAGTAAATGACAATCCAAATATTCCATTATATTATCTAGCAGGTCAGAAGATAAATATTTTTAAGACTGATAATGTTAGAAAAATCTAAGCTTAAGAATTGGTTAGATGTTCATTTTTCTACTTCAACAACTTTTGAGTTTTCAATATTGTTGCTGTTGTTAATTACAGTCTAGTTGGTTCTGACTCTTAGCAACCCTGTATAGGGTTTCCGAGGCTATAAATCTTTGCAGGAGCAGAAAGCCTCATCTTTCCCTGTATAGCAGCTGGTGGGTTCAAAGTGCTGACCTTGTGGTTTTAGGAAGTATTCAGTGCTTATAATTGGAATTCAGTGCTTATAATTCAGAGCCATCATATCCCCCTTCAATATTGTTACTGACTCTTTAATATAATAAATGCATTTCAGAATTCATAACAAAAGCTTATTTAAAATAAACAATACATAACATGACATACTTACCCCACTTCACTGTCCTGCTCTGCCCGGAGCATAGCAAGCCATTGTTGTTTATACACAGAAGACAGCCA